ACTCTTAAAAATAATTTTTTATGCATGAAGTACTGTTTATTAATTCATATTACTTAAAATTTAAGATTACAAATAAACTGTGCACAAGTACAACTTATTAAAGCTCCATTATTGAATTTGTATAACTAACTGCAGATAAACATAATCAAATACTGGATAAACATCTCATTTTAAATATAAAAAATCTAAAATATAATTAAGATAATTATTTAGTTATAACAGAATCATTATCTTTATAAAAAATATTCTTAAGCCAAAAATAAATTACTTCGTTATTATACCTAAATTAAATTAAAATAAAAAATTGAATTCTAGAAATTGTACAAAAAACGAGAACTTTTAAATAGTTAATTTGATATTAATATCGATATATTTTTTCAAAAGTTTATGATATCTTCAAATTTATTTTTATTCAAAAGTAAAAACATTATCTTGATCAAAACTACAAATCATAATATATATCAAGAGAGACAAAAAACAAAACAAAACATTAAAATGAAGATGTATCTCGTTGCATTGCGCGAGTACCATTCTAGTATATATATAAAACATTTGACAAAAACTTTTAAAAACCATTTTTTATGAATGAAATATTGTTTATTGATGTATACGAATTAAAATTTAAGATTACAAGTAAATTGTACGTAAGTACAACTTATTAAAATTACATGTTTGAATTTGTGTATCTAACTGCAGATAAACGTAAACAAATAAAAGTAATCTCATTTTAAATATAAAAATCTAAAATATAATTAGAATAATCATTGAGTTATAACAATATACTTAATTATTATCTTTATAAAAAATTATATTATTAAACCAAAAAGAAATAACTTTGTTACTAAATCTAAATCAAATTATAATGAAAAAAAATGAATTCAAGAAATTGCACACAAAAAAGGAGAAGTTTTAAATGGTAAGTTTGATACTAATATCAACATATTTTTTTCAAATTTCTATTATTATAGTTCGTTCTGTACCACCTCTTCTGTGAAAAACGCTTGCGTTCCTCTAAGATCTTCATATTTTATATTTTATTCAAAAGTAAAAACATTATCGTTTTTCTAAAAGCACATAAAACCGTATTATAATATCGACTAAGATAAAAAATGAAACATTAGTGATTTTTATAAATGTCAAATTAAATGTTTTGATGACAATTAAAACAATATTTTATTATTTGAGAACATATAAAATTATGATAACTTTGAGAACCGGTGCATCATGTGATATTTCACATGTTTTTTTTCCATCTATGACTTGGATTTAATATATTGATTAACATGTATTTGTTATGCATATTTTTTTATGTGTTTGCAAAACAAAAAATACAACTAAAAAGTTTTACATTGTGAATCGAATACATATGAAACAATCACGTTATGAAACAAATATATATTGATCAATATATTAAATTTTAGCTTTAGATTGAAATAACCATATGAAACAATATATTACGATAATAATTCTCACAATATATAGAATTCTCAAATAATTAAGTCCCTGAGAACATCTCCAACATATTTTTTAAAATGGAAAATAATGAAATTCTGAGTTGCTTTTTTACCCAAAAATTTTGCGCAAATTGAAAAAGCAAGAGAGAGTGGGTAAGAACATCTTTAATAGATTCTCTAAAACGAAGGAAAATGTGAGATTTTAAAATTTTCGGTCCTCTTTTTTACTCCAATACTTTTTTAAATAGAAAAAGTAGGAGAGAGAAGTTTGAGCATCCACATCACATGTATTTGACACATTTCTCTCAAACGGACCTCTAAAAATCTCTGTTATGATCAGATGTTTTTGTTCAGTCACGGTTTTTTGATATAAAAAAACCCAAGTTTTTGTCTCATTTTTTGTTCTATTATTATATTTAATAAAAAATAATTATAAAATATATATATAATTTAATATTGACATTAGAACTTTAAACTAATAATTTCAAAATTAATTTTGATGAGTTTAATTTATAAATAAGCAAATAAATTTGTATAATTACTAATTAATAAATAAATAATATATATATATATATATGATTTTATCTATATTTTATAATGAAAAAAGTCTAAAAAAACTTAGATAATTTTTTGGAACAAATAAGTTTTTGGACATTGCAAAACATGTTAAATAACTCATTGGCTTTTTTCATATTTTTTTTTCATTATTTTATCATATTAACCAGTTGTATAGGTCATAAGAATGTATCTAACATGTTTTAGAAACTCCAAAAAGTTATTTAACAGGTTTTGAAATGTCTAAGGATTTATTTGTTTTAAAAACTTGTGTAAGAAATTCATTATTTTAAACACCAAACTTCATTGAGTTTTTTTAGACTTTTTTATTTTATAATAATGTAATTATAAAAATTATTAGAGTAGTAAATTTAACAAAAATATATTGAAATTGTTATAAATGTA